CCCTCTTCATCTGAAACCACACGGAGAAGTTGCCCAGTCCGGCTACGTATATCAGCTTGCTCACTGGATATGACATACAACACTTTACATGTGTTCCTGTGTATCTTTTAGGGGTGAGCACAGGACACAGGGGCATGAGATGAGCCAGGAACGTGACGAGGAGGGCCAGAGGCCACCTCCTGCTTCGCCTGCTCAACTCCGCCTCACCCAGTGCCTCTTTGGAGCCCAGGGCCGCACAGCTCCCATCTCTGGAGTGGAAACAGGCTCCCCGCTGAGGGGTGCATGCACCCACGCTGCACCCTCCCATCTGGACAAGTCAACACTGCAAGGACCAGGAGATGGGAAACATTCTTATTCCCAGTTTTTCTCAGTGCTCAGTAAGTTGATTGCGTGTATTCCTTTAAAATAGCATGCATTTAAAAACTAAGGTATAGGCCTGTCATGCCAGGACTTTGGAAGGCCGAGGCGAAAGGATTGCCTGAGTCCAGGGTTTCAAGACCAGCCTGGGCAACTTGGTGAGACCTTGTCTCTACAATAATAAAAAAAAAAATTTTGCTGGGTGTGGTGGCGCACTTCTGTAGTTCCAGCTACTTGGTAGGCTGAGGCGGAAGGATCGCCTGAGCCCAGGAGGTTGAGGCTAGGGTGGCTGTGAGTGTGCCACTGCACTCCAGCCTGGGTGGCAGAGTGAGACTCTGACTCAAATAAATAAATGAGTGAATAAACAAACAAATAAAAAAAAATAAGATAAAGATGGCTTGCTAATAATTGTATACAAAAGTAGTAGAAAAATAACTAAAAACTAATGTACAGGATTTCTTGTTTCAGTATGCGTGGACTTTTACCTTGGCATACTGTCTCAATCTCTTATAAGCAATTGTTTACCAATGTGGCTGATTTGTAAGCTTGTTAAATTTGCAGTATAGTTACTTTTCCCTGTGCTAGTTATACATTGCTGCATAACAAATTACCATAAACTTAAAGGTCTAAAACAACAAGCATTTGCTTTCTCACAGGGTCTTGGTCCTCTGCTGTGGGCTCCCTCAGGCTGCAGTCATGGTGCCTCCTAGAACTAGGGTCACCTGCAGCGGGGCTGAGGAAGGAGCTCCTTCCAAGCTCATTCATGTGGTGTTGGCACGATCCACGTCCTTCTGGCCTGAGGGCCTCTGCTACAGCTACCCTCAATTCTTTGCCACATGGGCCTCCCCAGGATGGCGACTTGCTTTATTAAGGCCAGCAACGGAGAGCCTGCTAGCAAGACAGGAGTCTGAATCGCTCGTGACTGAATCAGGCAAGCGCAGTTCTCTCCATGTGGAGGCCTTCTGTTGGCTGGAAGCAAGTGACTCAAGGAGAGGGATCACACGAGGTCGAGTTGGTCATTCTGAGCTTTTCTAGAAGCTGCCTATGGCATCCATCATACTCTTTAATAACCCTTTCGCAAAGTACCTACTTTCTGAATGTCACTGCTCTGAACATTTTAAAAGTTATCTGCTCATTCTCCTATTCAGACTAAGGGAATACAGGAAACTGTAAAAACACAAAACAAGTCAAAAAATCCTTCTTTAAAGAAAAATATGTCTAATACTTGAATTGTTTAGTTCACTACTTTAATGTGCTATCAACCCGTTAATGACAGAGGAAGTAGTGATATCAATTTCCCCAAAGGTGGTCCTGTGGGATTTCTGGATTTAGGAAAGGGTCTAGGGGCAAGGAGTCCCAAGTGTGTAAGGCAGTGACACAACACAGGTGAAGCTGCAAGAAGCCAGATCCTTGGTGGTGAAACTCAAAAAGTGGCATTCTGAAATTCAATAAAAGCCAACTAGCAAACCTAGAAACTTGCATAAAAGTTAAAGAGTAAAACGTGTCAGGAGCTAAATGATTCTGCCATGAGAGTCTGGGAACTAACAATATGAAACCTATGCATCCTAACAGATCTAGGTATCCAAACTGTGCAGTGGCCAGAAAAGGCATCTTTAAGAGAACTGACAAGGTCATTTTCACTAATGGAAAAGACGTGTATTTTTAAAAAATCCCGTCCAGGAGACTGGGAAGATAGTTTTTCACTTCAGAGCAAGGTCTTCATCAAACTTCTAAAATTTTTTTTAAAAATCAACTACCATGTAAAGTATCAAAATTTAGAAAACTAACACTGACCTGAAAAGGGAAATGAACATTTTAAAAGTTATCTGCTTTGAAATGATATTTCATTTGAGAAACAGAGCAAAGTTCCTAGTTATAAGAAACAGCTCAGTTTAATTCTGCCCACAGATCTGTGTCCCACAGAATACATGTATTGCATATATAAAACCATCCAACCTCTGGGTTTAACTGAAGACTACACACAGATGCCCTTTTATTCAATCTCCTCTCTGGACTAATTAAATCGCAATGACACACATTAACCATCACTCCTCAGAACTTCAGGTCTTGCTGCAAAATGTCTTACATGGCAAGAGGCATCCTCAGGCCTGTGGACTCCCAATGAGCTACACTGGCAGGACACATTTTTATGTGCATCTTAGGGGTACGCTATAACCAAAGGGAATCAAGCTTAAAAGCAACCATTTACTAATGTTACATTTTCTCTAATCTATGTCAAGAACAGTTTCTATCATCTGCAACTGGGCACCCAAGTCAGAAAAACCAGAGTTTGAATCCCAGCTCACACCCTCTTAGCCCTGTGACTTTTAGCTAATTACTTAATCTCTCTGAACCTTAGTTTCTTCATCTACATAATAATGCAAGTATCAACTCCATAAGCCAGATCAGTCCCAGCCCCAGCCTCCTATAAATTCATCTGTCTGTCCACAGATGCCCTTGCAGGATCTGAAGACCCCAGCAGGAGGAAGGGCTCTGTCCCTCCTTTCCGTCCCCAGGCCTCTCCACCAAAAAAAGGCCTTGTCTCTAAAAAGTTGGTGAGAATCCAGTACCAGTGAACACACAGCACTTAGGATGTTGCTTGGCACACAGGAGGCACTCAATAAGGGCAGAGGCCCTCCTGAGAAGATGACAGTTACTAGGAGCAGAGGGACACTCACTAACAGCTGAACATCTACATCAGGGCAGTGAGCAGAGACCCTTCCAGAACAGGAGTGCGTAGTGAACATGCCAGAGCCACTGGGCACAGCTGCACTCACACCATGTCTAGATACTGAGGACACTTGACAAGCAGGGCAGGCTGGGTCTTCAGTCACATGGCACTTACACACTAGGATGCAGTCAACCAATAAACAGTTGGAGCTGAGGGGTCACATCATAAATGAAACAGTGTGGCTGGCATAGGGAGGAAGAGCAGGGCACGAAGGGATCTTCGGAGACAAGGACTGAGCTCGGGTGGAGATCAGGAGCATGTGGGAGCCATGGGGAAGAGCCTCCCTGGCGCGGGGTGCAGCCTGGACTTCAGACCACACGCAAGGGGATGATATTTACATACAACCGAGAGCACAGGCTCTGGTTTGCACTTGAAACAACATAACTCGTTCACTGGTGGAAAGAGGGCTCGGAGCTAACAGCCAGCAGGAGTGTGGAGAGGATGCATGGTCTTGGGTGGCTCGTGCTGCCATGGTCAATGCTGCGGTGGATGGAGAAGATTTGTTCGAGGAACGCTTTGAGGGAGCGGACGTGAGTACTGCAGGTGAAGACCCCCAGGGCCAGGGTCTGGCTGAGTGACCGCATGGCAGCGAGGAGGAAAGCAGGGAGGAACTCTGTGAGGCAGGGAGGGGATCAGAGCTTGGGAGGTCTACCCGATGACCAAGTGGAAACGTCCAGTTGGACACGTGAGCAGGAACTCAGAGGAGAGGTAGAGTCTCAAGATCTCAATCTGGAAAGAGATAGGAAAGGGGGACAGCTTCTAGGTGGACAGTTTGTTAAGGCAAAGCTTATGTGCAACCCTGCTTGTGCGCTGCTCTTCCACATTAGCCACTGGAATGAAGACAGCCATCATCTGCATTGAAGGGATGATGGGTGAATGAATCATTTGCTCATATTCACCTGCTCTTAAAACCCAAGCAACAGGCTGGGTGTGGTGGCTCAAGCTACCACACTGAGGTGAGGGGACTGCCTGACCCCACAGGTTTGAGAACAGCCCGAGCAACTTGGTGAGACCTCATCTCTGCAACAAATCAAAAAATTAGCTGGGCATGGTAGCACACGCCTGTAGTTCCCAATACTTGGAAGGCTGAAGTGGAAGTATCGCCTGAGCCCAGCAGGTCAACGCTGGGGTGGCCGTGAGAGATTGCCACTGCACTCCAGCCTGGGTGAGGGAGTGAGACTCCAGCTCAAAAACAAAACAAAACAAACCTAGGCATCATGTCTCCAAAATATGGAGGCACAGGAAGATCTGCAGAGCCATAAAGTCACTTTAAGGACGAGGAGTCACTTGAGGCTTGTTGTTGTTGGCCTCCCCCCCCACTGGCCTTTGACCTCTTGAGTATAAATTGAAGGGCAAAGCAATGTGGAACTGTGTTGCTTCTGAGGAGGAGGCTGTAAGTAGGGGCTCAAAAACGTCATCAGGAGACTTTTTAGTAATGGTCAGAGAAGCAATTAATATCCAGGCTCCTCCTGGGAAGAACTATGCCACCTTTTCCATCCCAACCTTGCCACAGGCTTCTTTCCTGGCCCCTCGGGGACCCGCTGGCTTCCCCTGGCTGGCTTCCCCATGTCCCCTGATATCTGGCCCTTCCGCACCAGATTCTGGAGTAGTTGTCCTGTCTAGCTCTAATCATAACAAGTGAGATTTAAAAATATGTCAGCCTCTCCACTGTATCTGTACAGATTCTGAAGACTTCCCTTCACTCTGGAAAAACATCTTATTTACAAGTAAGTTGTCCTTTCTACTCTGAGCAACTGGCTAAAAGATAGATGGTACAGAGAAGAAATTTCTCAGGGGAAAGGAAATGGTGATGAAGGAGAAAAATCACAAAACAGAACCAGAAGCTTGAAAACAATTAGCAGTATTCTAACTTCTGTGTGACACCACAGAAAATGACAAACTCACTGAAAAATTTCTGAATATACCACATTAAAATGTATGCCATATTTATTCAGAATATCATAATCATCGCAAAAATAGAACTTTTCTCCACGGTAAAAGTTAGTATAATACTGTAGGCTAGATACATGATATTTTAATCAAGTCTTCAGTATTAGCTTCTAAAAACAAAAACATTTACAATTATATACATCCAAAATCATACAAAACATATACACAAAAGCATAACTGTAGTGTAGAAAAACAAAGTTACCAAAATGTACTCATGAAATTTACTTTACACAAAATGTTTTCCAGTTACTTTTGTCCAAGAGCTTCACCAATTAGTCGAACAGCAACACTCTTGCCTTCGTCTGTTTGAATGACAAGCAAAGCTTCGAATCTACCCACGGACTTCGGTTTGAACTGCACAGGCATGTTGATGTAATGCTGGGCTCTGGAAAGAGAAAGGCACACAGCAGTGGCATGGCACAACAGCGAGGCCCTGTCCCCATCAGCACCACGCCTAGTATGGATGTTGAAGACAGTCTGGCCAAGTTATATTCAGCTTACACTCACTTCTCATTTCTTGGATGCTATTATTTAGTAAGAAACTGACACAAAGGAGAGAAAAATCTAAAACTGGGTGAAAACAGTATTGTTTTATATGTATGTGTGTTTTTGTATTTTCTTGGATACCCGATAAACAGGGAAAAAGGGAACTAAGAGGTCTGGTCTACAGTACTCAGAGCTTTGTGCACAATCTGAGAGCGGTGACTGCCCAACTAAGGGCTAGAGAACATCCTGAATATCCCTGCTTCACTCGACTCAGGCAGCATGTTGTCCTGGAAAGAACAGTAAAACCACCTGTCCCATTTCCATCATTGAACAGGGCTGTGCAGTCTTTGCTCTAAAATGTATTGAAACTCTCATCAAAAACCTTCTGGAAACTTTATGTTCAGATTATACAGAGGCAGGTAATAAGTGCCTTTGTTTAAAAGTAGTATTCTGAGCCGGGATCGGTGGCTCAGCCTGTAATCCCGCGCCTTTGGAAGGCTGAGGTGAGTGGATTGCCTGAGCCCGCAGGTTCGAGAC